GGTTAAATTTATTCCCAGGTATTTTATTCTTTTAGATGCTATTGTAAATGGAATTGCTTTCTTAATTTCCTTTTAGGATTGCTCATTGCTGGTGTATAGAAACATGACTGATTTTTGTGTGTTAATCTTATCCCTTGCAACTTTGCTGAATTTGTTTATTAGCTGTATTTGTTTCTTGTGGATTCTTTGGGATTTTCTATATATAGATCATGTCGTCTGCGAGTAGTTTGCATCTTCCTCTCCAATTTGGATACCTTTTATTTTTTTCCTCACTTAATTGCTCTGGCTAGAATTTCCAGGACAAAGTAAATAGCAGTGATGAGAGCGGGCATCCTTGTCTTATTCCTGATTTTAGGGGAAAAGCTTTGTGTGTTACACCATTGAGTATGATGTTAGCTGTGGGTTTTTCATAAATGCCCTTTATCATGTTGAGGAACTTCTCTTCTATCCCAAGTTTTATTAGTGTTTTTATCATGAAAGGATGCTTTCCTGCATCAATTGAGATGATCATGTATTTTTTTCCTTCATTCTATTAATATTGTGTATTACATTGATGGATGCCCTTGTGTTGAGCTACCCTTGCCTTCCTTGCATAAATCCCACTTGGTCATGGTGTATAATCCTCTTTAATTTGCTTTTAGATTAAGTTTGAAGGCTCTTTTTTAAAATATTAGGTAGTTAGTAATTCTCTTTTTCTCAGTTTTGGTTCATGTTGACAATTTCAGGGCAATAGGAAATTTCTACTCAGTGCCCTCTTACACTTTTCCTTTCACTACTCCCGAACACAGTATTACTGTCCAGTTCTTATTTTTTGAGAGCAGGGCTCATAATATATACTTTTGTGTACTCTAAAGTCAGTAATGCTTGTAGATACTTAGGAAGACCACAATGAATATGTGTTCAATTGTATCAAGTTATCATTAAAAACATTTCATTAGATACTTATGTAGCATTTATTGATAATAGAATAACCAAGTTAAAAAAAGTTATAGTGGAGTTGGACAAAAATAATTTATTCATTCAGTGAAGACTTTATAAGGGACATTGAATTTCTAGGATTTGTATTATTAGTCTCTCTTATAACAGTAGTCATATATGTTGTGAAAATTTGAGTTATTTTAAATTTAAGTGATTTTGGTTAAAAAATTTTTCAGTTTTTCACTTCCCCTTGAGAAAATAGGGATGACATGATATTGGGTCTTTATTTAACAAAAATGTGTATAGATGGCAGGCT